GGCCTCCTGATGCTGACAGAGCTAGAGTCCCATTGTTAGGGCCACTGTGGCCCCCTGGATTGGTTGATGCACTCCTTCTAGCTGTCAGATGACTCAAGGGTTCTCCATTTTCTGAGGGGAGCAGGACTTGTGAGCTGATCTCTCTTCCGCTGGAGGATTTGATGGGCTCAGCAGGGGCTGCCATAGAAGGGTCTCCAGGGACAGTGGAGTCAGCGATGCACCTTAATCGTCTCCTGGGGAGCACACACAGGAGCTGATTCAAACAGCTGAGAGTCCCCAATGCTCCAGTGGGTGGGACAGGAGAGACTCAGCCCCGGAGTGGAGACTGTCAAAGGGTCACAGAGGCTCTTCTCCGACATGGACTTTGAGGACCTCTCCATTCATTCCATTAAATCCTGTATCTTATCACATCTGAGTGGCTCTGCCTCAGTTTTGTCTCTTGTGCTTTCTTTGTAAGGGAACTCTCCCCTCCACTCCAGGAGTCATTGCTCCTAGAGGTGCTGCTTGTTTCCAGAACTACGCGGAGTCCAATCTGCCAGGACCACCTCTCTGGGCAGGGGTGATGGGTATTTTGGTGGCCCAAGAAGCCAAGTCCAAGGTGGTGATGGAGTGTGTGTGGCTAGTCTAAAGGGGAAAGTCCACACCAAATTAGATACGACTTCCCCTCACTCACCTCCCAGAATTACAGAAAAATTATAGACTGTTACTCCTTTTTGACCCAAGTGGTTATTAGGAGAAACTGATGATGGAGTCAAGCATTCCTGTTTATTTACAAGGAATGTACAAAGTCCCATTTCTCTGACCACAGTAGGAATTAAATAAGAGATTGTGTCTTTACTCACAGTTCCAAGCCTCTAGTCAGCACTTAGCCCAAAACTCTCTCTCAGCTTTTGTTCAGGGCCACATTCCCAATGCTTATCCTGACTCTGTCCTTGCTGTGATTCTCCCTGCTTCTCTGCCTTTTGGCCTCTCTTCCTCAGACACACAAACCTTCTCAAAACAATATCCAGCAAAACCTCTCCACCCACAAATGCCTTGTGCCTGTGTTGTGGATGGAGGCCTCTGTTGTTTCAGCTACCTGCTACCAGCTTCCAGCTACCAGCATAGGAGCTTAAATGTTTTTTACAATTATCTTAAATGAAGGGCGGCACTGACATCCAACCTATAAGAACCATCCCAAGAAGGGCCACACGGATGCCTCTTCCTTCGTCAGGCCCTGAACAGAGCTGATAAACCCAAAGGAAGGTAGGAGCTCAGATCCGTGACTCTGAAACCCAAGAGTAGAGGCTGCTACAAGGCAGGAGTGAGGTGTGCTGGCCAGGCTGTGTGGGGATGCTGGACTGAAACGGCAGGAGATACAGCAAGAGCAGGAGTAGAGTAATGCACTGGCAGAGGGTTTGTGTTTTCTCCAGGGGAGAGGCTTGATTTTAGGACTAAGGAAGTCTTTGCAGGCCAGGACTATGGTGTTAGGGCAGGTCTGGAGGTTTCTGCAGTTCAGGTGCTTTGCAGGGTGGATGGGAGGGAGAACTGGAGTAGCAGGGGATGCTGGAGGCCAGCATGGAGGTGCATTAGCAGATCTGCATTGGGCCCCTAGGACAGGAATTGCAACTAGTGACTGGTGTATTGGGAGGTCAGGCAGAGCTGTGCAGCCCAATGTAAATGTAATACTTATTTGTGAATATTGTTTAGATGGCATCTTTAAGCAGTAAGTTCCCATGTAAATATTCAGGGTGGGTGGAGACCATAATGTCTCCCTGGCTCCAGAGGTCAGGTGCTCTTTTTTTCTCTCCTCGCCTAATGTGTTCCAAAGCAGGAGCACACAAGACATTGAGACAAGTCTCCCAGCAATTTCTGGATTGCAGCTGAATCCTTGTATATGTTACTGCAGGATTTCAGTCCCCTGAGCCCTTACTGTGAGCCTCTCACTAGGACTGCTCAGGATATCCCAATTGGGTGTTTGATCAAAAACAAAACAGAAAAGGTGCAATTGCTGCTGGTAGGCACAAGGTGGCCTCGCTACTTTAGATCCTGCTAATATATTAGCAACCATTGCAAAAATAGTCATTCGGGTGAATTTACAGCTAAGCCGGCCAGAGGCTTGGGAAGCTCCCAATTTGTGAAGGCAGCCAGATTCACATCCCGGAAATCACATTCCTGGTGCAAGGAGGAGCTACAGTCCAGCACAGCTAGTGTTCAGCTTCTCATTCCCAGCCTCCCTGGGCAGCAGGATCCTGATCCCATGGGGGGACTTAGACGTTAACTTGGGTCTGTTGTGGTCAGAGCTGGTGCCATAAGAAGTGGGCAGAATAGTAATTAAAATCCCTTTCTCCTGGAATACCGTCAGCTGTGACTTTATGCAAGGTGCTATATATGGTCACCTACAGGGGACAAGAAGGGTTTTTACACAATTGAGGCATCAGCGACTGGTCACAGCTGGAGACAGGACACCAGACAGGGTGGACCGGTGCGTTGAGGTGGTGCACAGCAGCCTCCTTCGTTGGATATGTCTGCCGTGCAGTCAGAGGTGTGCTTGCTGCTTGGGCAGACATAACTGCACGAGCTGTAATCTACCTAGCACAGCAAAAAATAGCAGTGAGGGCCATAGTGGAATGGGTTGTTCCAAATGTTCCTAGCCCGCACTGGAGCCCGTGCCGCCATGGCTTCATGGCTAGTTTTAGCTGTGCCAGGTAGACTACAGCTAGCATGGGTATGTCTGTCCAAGCTGCAATATCACCTCCAACTGCAGTGTAGAGATCTACTTAGGTGCATGGCTAGTTCTTGCTCACATACTCAGGGTCACTGTGATCACCAGAATTGGGGTTGGGAAGGAATTTTCCCCCAGGTCAGACTGGCAGGGACCCTCGAGGGGTTTTGCCCTCCTCTGCAACAAGGGGCATGGATCACCTAGTAGCATCATCAGGCCATGTCTTCTCCTCTAATCAATTCCCTGCCCTCACAGGGGCCTCAGGAATTGGTAGCATCTCTGTATCAGCTGTTCTCTGCCTGTGACACTAAACTGGGATGAGTGGTAGATACGCTAGAGGGTAGGGACAGGATACAGAGG